CAGTTTCTTTTTAAATTGATTTCATATATATCCAATGGAATTCCTTCTAAAATTTAGTAGAAACTAACATTTTATTATCTAGATATTCACTAAATAGGCACATAAATCTTTAAGTCAAAATAGGTACTAATTTTTTATTCAACATCATCTTGTATATCCATAGTTTTTACTTTTTTCAAAAGAATTTCTCATTATCTAACTTGAGCTTCATATTAACTAAGATGACCTTTATCTCATTTCAAAAATCCAAAAGCTGAGTCATATTTATCTTTCATACCTTAATACACCATATCTTAACATACTGTATCAAGCAGATTAATTTGCTAGGAAATTTCAGAAATAAGGTGTGATTAAACATTCACTTATTGTTGAGTAAAGTTCAGAGATCTTTATCAGTGGAGCAGACTGATATGCAACAAAGTGTTGTGTGTGTGGACTGGACAGCCACTCAGACTCCTTAGGTTTCCATTCCAGCTCTGCCATGTACTACTTAGGTAACTTTGGGCCAACTGTTTAACTTCTCTGCTTTATTTCCCTAATCTAAGGGGAAAGGTGAAAAAAGGTATCTACTCATAGGGTTGCTGTGGGAGAGGATTATCTATAAAACCTACTTCACATGACTGTCATGGTCTAAGTGAGTTACTAAGAATTATGAGCCCAGCACAGTGATGAGCACACATGGCACTCAACTTCTGCCCTTGTTTTCTGTTTACCTCCAAATGTATGGCCCCTAGGACTGGGTGGAGAATCTCTGAGTCTTAGTTTCCACATCTTTAAAACAAGGAAAAGAATAGTACCTGGAAGTAGGATCATGGTAAGGATTGAATGCAATCAATACTCTTCAAAAACGATCACAGCGTATACTGCAATAAAAGTATTTACTAAACTTTAAATTTTAAACCAAATCTTATTCAGTATTATTAAAGTAACATTTTGTTTGAATTAAAGCATTCAATTTAACATTTTTAAATGCCATGAAAGAACAATTACAAAAATTCTTATTAATGCTCATACAAATACAAATATGTTCCCTGAAAAGCTTTGCATATAGCACTTATTTCTCAATTGTTCTGGTATGGTTTAGGCATTATCAAACCTGCAAGCACCCATCCCTCTCGCTGAAACTGATTATGTGTATTTCTGTTAAGGAATCAGGAGATAAAAAAATAATTTGCTGCTTATTTACAACTATTTTCCTGAGTGCTTTACATATGTTAACACATTCAATCCTCCTAACCCAGTAGATTAGCATCTATTTACAATTCTATTTTACAGGTGAGGAAACTTGAAATAAAGAATTCTCTTTATGGTATGCCACATTTAGAACAGAGAACAACTACCCATTTCATTTGTGGAATCTGCTATAAAAAATAATATATATTGAATCAGTACAGATATAAATCTCTTCAGGTAAAATTTTTTTAAACATTTTTTACAGAAAAATTATAAAGTTCATATGTATGTGCTTACACTTTACTTCTAAACCTGCACTGTCCTATACAAGAGCCCCCAGCTATATGTGGCTACTGGCACAAAGTGAGTTGTGCTAGATGTGTAATACACATTGGATTGTGAACTTAATATGAAAAAATGTAAAACAATAAATACCGTACTGATCACATGATAAAATGATCAATGTTTACAGAAGATTTAATAATTATTCAAATTAATTTCACTTGTTTCTTTTATTTTTTTAATGAGGCTACTAGAAATTGTTGTATTATATTATCTGGGTAGTACTGTATGTTTATTGGACAGTTTAGGTTTGGGGGTATAAGAGTAATAATAGAATTATTATCAGAGTTGTTTTCCCAATGAATATAAGCTTAAGTCATTCAATTGAAGTGCAAGTATTATAGAATGGAAAAACTTTCTTTCTGCATTCGTGTATATGTATGCAGTATTATACACAAACACAAACATGTGCACACACACACACATATACACAGACACAGAGCTCATAGGAACCAGAGGAACACTACACTATCTCACTACATTAACATACAAGATTATGACCAAGCAAATACTTCAGGTAAAACCAATCCTTTGTGAATGAGGGAAGGAAAGAAAATCTAAGTGGAAACAACCAAAGAGAAAAAATTTGTTTTCTTTTAAACTAAAATCATAAAAGTTTTTTTTTTTTTTTGGTTCCAGGGATCGAACTTGGGTCCTTGCGCTTGGGAGGCAGGCGGCGGAACCACTGAGCTAAATCCCCGGCCCATAAAAGTTATTTTAATCAAAAATGATCACGCCACTGAGCTTAGCTTCAGGGCTATAATAAATACCAAGTCTATATGGTAAGTAAAATTTAAATTTCCCGATGATTTAACTGACAGACTATGAAAATATCTAATGTCTGATATCTGGTATCATCTAGAAAATATTCAGTTTATGGATACCTGTCACATTGTTTTGATCAATTTTATATATCAAACATGAAGCCTTTAACTGATTTTTCTAAACGGATGCTGATACACTATATAGAAGAAAATTACTCCATAAAGTTTACATCAGATATGTGGAGAAGTCACATTTATAGTCATGGCTACTATCAGCTGTCAAGCCAAAGAATATTGAAAAAAAAAACAAGAATTTTTAATATATGCTGGTTAATTTATCATCTAAGTGACATACGTAGCATAAAAAAATGAAATGGTTAAGCAAACTTCTACATTTTAAAAGGCTTTTTCTGGTTTTATTTTTAATTGCAGCTATATTTGAGAAACTATGGGAATAAAACAAATTAATGAGAACCATAAAAATAGAATCAATAAAGAACAAACTAAAAAGCCTTTTTTCTTCCCTTACTGAAAGGTTAATTTTTTTAAGTGGCAATATACTAATATCTTGTTTTGTACTGGAAACTGGTTAAACCATCTATTCCTGGGTTTCTCAACCTTGACACTTCACATTTGGGTTCAGATAATTCTTTGTTGTGCAGGGCTGGCCTGCGCATTGTGCGACGTGTAGCAGCAGTCCCTGGTGTATATTCAATAGATGCCAATGGCAAGTTCTAACAACCAAAAATTCCTAAACAGTATCATGTTTTTGAGGGGTAAAAGATTTCCCCAGATGAGAAACACTGGTGTATTCCTACCCCAAAATACCTTCCTATTTGGTGAAAATTATTCAAAATACTTCCCAGATAGGTTCAGCAAGGAGATGAGTAAACCTGCTGAAACTACATGCAGAATAGTCTGGGTACACTTTTATTTCTATGTGTGCACTAGAATGTTTTCCAGAAATTTTTTCTATAGCTTTTGTCAAGTCCTGAGTTATCCCAAAATGGCAATTTTAAAAGGGTTAAGAATCGTGTTTCAATTGAAATATTCACTATGTCCTGAAGCTGTCCTCAAAATATAAAGACAGAAAACATTATTTTATACAGAGCAAATTATTTATTCATGCTCTTGTTTATCAGACAAAATTGCTTTCACCACAGTTGTAAAACCATTCATATAACAAACATCTACTTAGTACATTCTATATGCTAGGCAACTGTGTTATTAGTATTTGAAAGCTCAACTTAAATTGCACTTCTCTCACCAAAGGAAGGGGAGGATTAATAAACAGTGGTATAAAGTTTGTATTTATTGCATATAACCAAGAATTTCTGTGTATCAAAAGTTACCATAGAAAGAAATAAAAACTAGTTATAATACTAGTATCTACAGACAAAATAAAAGTAAATAAATAGTTTATATTCTTGGTAAAAATATAAAAGAAACTTAGATATTTATACTAATAAATTATTGTTCAAGCACATTTCTTTCCATATTTTCCTTTTTTCCCTGCCTTAAAATGAAACACCGAATTCCATACTATCATACTGAATGACACTAAGCACATAGGATATCAAGTTGAATAAAACATACAAATGAGCTGACCTAAAATTAAATGCTTAGCATTATGCCTAGAATACAACAAAAGCTTGATAAACAACTCCTTTCCTTCTTTTTCTTTCTATCCTTAAGGAGCTCAGTCCCACCTCCAATAAATGTTATGTCTTAGATTTTCTTTTTAGGTTATCTTTTAGCTTCTACATAATAAAATCACCTTTGGAATTCAAACTACATAAACTAAGTAAATAGCAGCTAAACATATACAAATGTTTATATAACTATAATTCTATAATCTACATAAACATTTCCTTTCTTTTTTTAAAGTAAGTAACTCCCAAGTATCCTTTTAAATACAGTTTAAAGTTTACAAGGCCACTAATCTCTTTTGGATCACACAACTGTGATATACAATTTAAAAAGATATTGCACTCAATATGTGATTTGGGGATAATAAACACACATATAATCAAAAAACAATAAAAGGAATGGAATTAATATGAGAAAATGAAAAAATGGAAACAAAGTCTTTGTAAATAGGGAGGGATGGAGGGGTTGAAGGGAGGGCAGGGGAATGGGGAAAAAATAAGAACCAAGAGAGATTATGTAAAGGTGCAAATTTCCAATGATAAATGTCATTATATTGAATGCCTAAGATGTACCAATAAAATTAATTTTTTTAAAAGTAAATAAATAAATAAATAAACCAATATAAGGAGTAGCTAAAGAACATGTCTGCTTTATGTCTCCCAAATAGATTAGAGCAGGATAATGCTCAAAGATATGTTACAAATAAATTAGAAAATAATTCTGAACCCATGAATGAAATTACCACCCCCAAATAATACCACTAAAACAACTATGAAGGCAAAGAATGTGCTCAGCACTTAAAAATGATTTTGTTTACGATAATAAATAATGACTGATTTTTATATATTTTGTACACTGACAATTAACAGAATAATATTACATAATAAAAATCAGCTTCACAGAAGTATTGTATGATAATAGTAACAAAATTCTAAACATACATCAGACTTTCTGGAAAGAGAAAAAAATTGTAACTTAAAATGATACAAATCACCTAGATGGTGCAGGTATATGTAAATGTGTGTGTATATGTACATGTACATGTATATATTACATTATTTACATATTTACCTGCACAGCAAGAGAAGCTGCATTGTCAGAAAGCAAAATTTGCTCCCCTGTGAAAACATAAGTAAAGGTCTCGGTCAAAAGTGTAACTGCCAAACATGCAAAATATAAATATATTATTTTTATTTTAGAAAACTATTCCTATTTATATAGACAAAGTATAGCCTAAACTGAAGTAATTATGAAGTTCTATAGATACCATTAAGTAATGCTAATTTTGATTAAATGCTCATAATATGTAAATAATGATGAAACAGGGCTGTTTCCTTTAAAACTATTTGATAATTTATCTCATTTTATCAGCAATATGTAATTAAAACTGCTTACTAAAAAACATTCATTATTTTTTCAAGAAATATTGCCCTTCTCATTAAAATTAAGTAAAACAGTATCTATTCAAATCTCTCTAGTTAAAAGTGAAAACATTCACAATCATATAAAACCAGCTTGCAGTTAATATTGCACAGTATGTCTAGGTCTGTCACACAAAAGAAAGATGACAAGTTCGCTGCAATAAAAATTCCATGCTTAGAAGACTAGGGCTGCTGCCTATTAGTCTTCATTACTTTGCAGTCTTCTGACAACTGTAGCAGGCTGCTGAGCCCCAAATGGGGTCCATAATGTGATCTGATGATATATGAAGAGCTGCTAAAGGGAGCCTGAACCATCCTAGCCTATACATTTTAACAGTTCCTTTTTACTGAGAGCCCACTTTACCACAGGACTTCAAAAATCTGCTGTCTCAGCTATTGGTGCAGTAAATCTGCCAACTGCTCCCGCAACCACATCATTTTACACTGCCTACAGCAGCCAATATAATGAGTCAATAATAAACTAAGGACCTTATAGGCCATGAATAGTTGGTTTACACTAGCAGTTTACAAGTTTAGGTAAAACCTCCTAGATAAATTATACAAGGGAATCCTTTCTTTATGTTTTATGCTCTTCTTGCAGTAAATTGCATTAGTGAAGGGTTTTTTATAATAAATATATTTTGATATAAACTCATTTTTAATTGTGAGCAAGAACCTACCTTTCAGTTGCTGATATAATGTAGCATTTTCAGGCCAAGGTTCTGTAGCTGCAGAAATAAGGCAATGACAATTAGGCACATAAGGAAATGCATATCAATAATAAACCAAATTAATAAGCATGTACACTGGCCTAGAGCATTTAGAGTCAACTGCTACAGTTATGTTAAATATGCAACTAGTCACACACTCTTAGACTGTATGCTAGCTTGAATAAGCAGGTTAGTCTGTTTTAAATGCATGTTTGCTTTATTGTCTGGTGAAAATTTGTTTCTTATGAGAAGAAGATACACATCTTGCCCGATCAAAAATGTAATTCAAAAAATAAATTTGTCTAGCTTCTTTTAAATACAGCTATACCCAAAATGTTGTTCATACATATACAAAGATACTGTTTTGATTCACTACAAAAAGACAGTGAAACAGTATTTGTAATATTTTACATAAACTTCTAACAAAATAAAGTTTCAAACAACACTACATAAAAAATTAAACATGTCTACATCAGGTATTCATTTTTTCTTTTAACCTGAGAGTACATAAAAATACAGAGGAATTCTGCTGCATTCTAGAACATTTCATTGTCTTGACTCTACTATAACCACTCCATAAAAACAAAACAAGGTAGTATGATAAAGCAGTAAGGGCCTACAATGTGAAACAAGACCAGTAAAGCTCACTTTAGGTCTGAAGTGAAGCATGACCTTGACCCTTATCTCTTCTTCTAGAGATGATTCTAGCTACATAGAGAATATCAGCAACCTACTAGTGCTTGGGAAAAGCACTAATTTTATATCTTGTCTAGTCAACTACACTTAAGAAGCAACGGTTCCACTGACAGAACATACAGGATATCAGGACATCATTTGCTGATTCATTTTTAAAAACCATAAAACATCAGAATCAACAATTCTAATATACCAACTACATTTGCAATCAGCAAGAAAATGAGTTAAATATATGAGATTTGATAATAATTACTATTTTCTTACTGTGTTTATATTAAGCCAGTCTGTGACACAGCAACAAAAAAATTTTAATATAGAATTATGGCTGTCTTTTTTAAAAAGAAATACATGCATGTGAGGCATTTTTTTTCTTAAGATAGATCATTTAAGAGGAGTAGGAGAGAAGAACTCCTTAATTGCTTTTCTTATGCTTGCAAATGAAAAGAAAAACACAGTAGTATTATTAAAATTTACAAATGTCATTTTTGGTTTGGTTTAGGTTACAAAAAATTTCATTCATAATGACAACACCACGAAATCATCAAGCAAATAAAGGACCACATAATTTTGCATATTGTTGCCTACAATATTATATATATAATATAAATGCTACTAGATTTACTATATTATATATATTTACTATACTATATAATATATATATGCTACTAGATTTCAACAATGCATACCAAACAGACAATAAAACTCAGTATTATATTTCATTATAAACATTTTAGCACAGTAAAATTTCACTAAGAGCCCAATTAACATGTGTAACATGGTTTTTAAAATAAAAGTGAAACAAAAACAAGCTGACATCAGTGAATTATTCAAAAGTAACCTTTTAGGATAAACTGTATGGTCAGCATACCTACGTTTATCTCTATACTAAAAACAATACAATGAGGTTCATTCACTGTAGGATTCTAAACCATCAAAGAGTGAATTATATGCATTATATTAATCTTAAAGCAATAAGGGATAGGAATAAAATTTATAAAAATTTCAAAGAATATTAAAACTAGGTTCCTTAAAGGAACATATATGTCCCTATGTATCTGTCTGAGGCACACTGTGTCGTATTTTATACCACTTGGTGTTCATTAATTGTGTGCAAAGAATGAAAAAAGATACTTGATGAAACCTACCATTTCATTTCCTAAATACTATGGCTAATCAAAAACTTAATATTATCATCTATGTTAAGGTAACAGGATGTTCTATTTAAATACCGTGGTAATTTCAACTTTTGGCTAGCTATTTTGTGTAACTATTAGACATGAACTACATATTTTCAATAAAATACAGTATTATACATTTTGCATTACATATATGAATATAATTCATGTTTTTTGATAATTTAGAAACTACTCTACTTTGTAATATAATTTCTCATATGAACAGCAATGCATGTGTTCAATAATCCCAGATAAAAATTAATTCATGGGGCTGAGTGTGAAGCTCAGTGCTGGAGCACTTGCCTAGCATATGTGAGGCCCTGAATTCTACTCCCAACATGAGGAGCAAAAAAAGGTATTCATCACCACACCCACTGATCCTCCAGATCTAATCCAAGGAACATGTATAGAAATAATAGAAATTTTGCAACATATTACCTGACTGCAAATAAAACCAAAGGTGTTGCCTCCAAATACCAAAAGCTCTGTTATCAAGGACTTAAAGCTGGAAAAAGGGATAAACGTTTTGCTTGATCCAAGGTATAAATTATGTTCAACCCAGAAGCTATTAAAAAAAATTATTAGAAAAGCAACTCTACTAAAATATCTGGTGTTTTCTTCACAAAGAGAACCTACCATTTAAAAAAAAACAGGGCAGGGCCAGGGATTTAGCTCAGTGGTTCTGCTACCTGCCTTACAAGCACAAGGACCCAAGCTTGATCCCTATTTTCAAAAAAAAATAAAAAATAAAAAATAAAAAAACAGGGCAAGTAAGACACATAAACCTATGCAGCCATGTTATTTTAGCTGCTAGAAATTGTAAGGTACCATGAATCAGTAGATAAGAAATGGTAGTGTATGCAGGAAATGACCAGCTATTCATCTCACCCATGAGCAGCTCAGATTATATAAACATCACTGATTTTACAGCATTCTCTATGTGAATCCAATCAAATACTTCCTTTTAAAGCATGACAAGGGAAAAGAAACCACTAGTATATGTAAGAGTGCCAAAATGCAAATCCAAGTTGGATGCAGTGGCAATGGATCTACAATTCTACCACGTAAGTGTCAAGTAAGCTCTGTAACTGTCTTATAAGTAAATCCAAGAACATTATTATCTACAAATAACAAAATATAAACCTGTGTCTTGGTTTGAATAATGTTAATTAAAGCTTTTTGTTAGTGAAAGATGAAGTCCACAAAGATACTTTCTTCCTCATTCCTCTTTTCCAAGGTCAGGTAAATCTATACCCCACTCCTTGCTCCTGAGCAACTGAGGGTTGGGGTACTAGGAATTAAGCCCAGAGGTGCTCTAGCCCTGAGATACATCCCCATTCCTTTTCATTTTGAGGCAAGGTCTCACTAAATTGCTCAGTCTGGCCTTAAACTTGTGCTCTTCCTGGCTCAGCCTCCAGAGCAGCTTGGATTACAGCAAGAAAAACCTTTTCTAAACAATAACAAAATTTTCATCTTTCACTAATTTTTCTTCAATTCACCCAAAATGTTTTACACTATATACTACTTTAATAGTAAATAAAATTTCATAACTCATCTACTCTATTTTCAATTTCTACCACCAAAAGCATGGTGTGCTTGGGGAAAGGACAGCCTTAGAATAACTACAGAAGGTAAGACTGAAAGTTTCTAAGGAAGTTGGTGAGAAATGGACATTGAGGGACAAAGTTGTCTGACGCTGGCAAGGTGCAAATTACTGGTATTACCAGTATATCAAAAGTAAACTTTATGCTTAAAACAATCAATAGTTATATGCAGCTCTTGGAATAAAGACCAAAATCCCCGACATGGCCTATGGGGTTCTACACCATACCATCTCCACCTCATCTCCCCTGCTGCTCCCTGCACTCCAGCCACATGGCATTTATCCAGTTCCTGAGCACATCACGAGACTCCTGCATGATATTTCCTCTGCCTAAAACAATCTGCCCCCTCTCGTGTCATCACATCAATTTAAACATCACTTCCTCAAGGAGAACCAGGTTCATGGCAGGTAACCAGGTAGTTGCACAGGGCCAACACTTAGAAGGGGCCTACTTGTAAAGTGTTCTGCTCTTATGGTTTTGGAAGTGTTTCTTAATAAATTCTTGAACAAGAAGTCTCCAAATTTCATTTGCACTAGGCCATACAAATTATGTAGTCGGTCCTATCTCCAGGAAATCTTTACTGATCTCCAATAGTTCAAACAGTTCCTTTACACACACAAACCCCTTTATGCCACTTATGATGGTCAACATTTTTATGACATGACTATCTCCCCCACTAGAAGATAAGCATCATGAATGCCTAGACCCTAGCACATAATCAGTAAATGTTGTCTGAGTAAATATTTATTTTTATTATTACCACTCTCATTATTCTTATTACTTTGTACGATTTAGGCAAAGAATGCAGCAGGGAAGATAATGAAACTGCACTACTGCATGGCAAACATAAAAAATAAACCACTCAGACAACTTCAATACTACATACAACCAATAGCCCAAGTCTAAAAATACTGAACAGCTGCCTAAAAACATCTAGAACTTAGATTTAATTTATTTTTTTAACTTTCTACTTTCTTTGTTGGTATAAGTTTTTTAATATGTCTCATATATATTAGCTCAGAAACTAATGACTGTATGATTTCTAAATCTATTTTGGCTTATATGCTCAAATACTTTATTGATGGGCACATGAAACTAAAAGAAAAAAAAGGTGATCCCTGGGTTAGAGACATAGGATGAAGAAAGGAGAACAGTGGAATGGCTTGTTAGACAACTGAGGACCTTGACTATTAAGCTTAGGAGTGGACAACAGTCATATCCAATGATGAGGCAACAAACAAATTTCCAGTGTTAGGACACATGTAAGAAATGCATACCTGATACTTTCTTCCTGTACTTCAGAGGTCTATCTTGCATACTACAAGGTCCACAGACCCCCATCCCATGATGAAAAACACTGTTCTAATTAAATGCCTACTTATTTGAAGTTTTTGCAGAGAACCTAGACACTCATGAAATCTTAAACAAGGAAGAATATCCCTTGGTAAATTTTTTTTTCTTTGACCAAGGAAAAAGCTGGGGAAGAAACAGTCATAAATTAGTGAGGAGGATGTGGATCCCTTTCTAACTACCTCCCTAACAA